TGTTAAATGATAAATAAATGATAAATAATAAATGTTAAATGATAAATAATAAATGATAAATGTTAAATGATAAATGTTAAATGTTGAATGTTGAATGATAAATGATAAATATTAAATGATAAATGTTAAATGATAAATGTTAAATGATAAATGTTAAATGTTAAATGATAAATGTTGTCTAAACACAAGCAGTCGTACAAAAACTGATGATTTATGTGATCAAAGTCAATAAGATAATGAATCTCATTTCAACCATCAGCTCCGACACAGTTCTTCGTATTTGATACTACGGACACATTTCTGTTGTGTTGACGTTTTCTCTCTGGAGCTTCATGTTCAGGAAAACATGAAAAACTAAAACAAAGATGAAGTTATTAATATATTCACTCATTCACCAATTATTGCATCATTGTACAAATGAATCAGGTAAACGCAGAACAGCTGGAGGTGAAAGAGGTTCGTTCTCCACGTTATTCTGCAGGTTTAAAGTATCTGCATCAGTGGCAACACGACCGTTAACGACATCATCTGGGTTTTTAATGTGGCCGTCACATGGTCTGACGTCACCACCGAGTGACAGAATTTGGACTGTAGATGTTGAGGCGTCCTGGCTGAGTGTTGCATTGTGGGCCGGGGCCCGGGAAGACGCGGTGATGTCACAGACTCGGGGCCGGAGGGTCGAGACAGAGAGGCCATTGACGTCCAGCAGCAGACACACTCCTGTTGTCCTCCAGAGAGACAGCGCTGCATGATGCTTTAACTCTGTGTTCTGTGCTTCTTTACTAACGGAGCACCACATTCTGTCCCCAACATGTCGCCACCTAGTGTCTGCTTTTATTTATTTTCACTTGTTTGTGTTTTTATTTCTTTATTTGAACCCCCTTCAGGCGAAGAAGCCTCTTTGCCTTCCTTACCCTACTGCCATCCTGCCTTTGGACTGACTATCTTTTGGCTTTTTATATTAATCCTTGGTAAGTAAGCCAAAAAACACTTCACTTCAGGGGCATGTCTGAGCAGAGCCACAGCCCGCAGTATTGATCCGAGACATTGTTCCACATTGTGGAGCCACCGGATCACCTCTGGATCCAGAACTAAAGCATGAGCCTGGTGATGTTCACTGTTCTCTTGTTGTCAACAAACCCCACGAAAAGACCAAAATCAACAATTCATTTACAGATGTGGTGTACCTCAAGGCTCGATTCTCAATTCAAATGCTTCTCCTTAATTATTATTATTATTTATGCAGATGATATACAGGTGTCGACTCTAGTGATAGTTATTGTCTCTTTTCCCTCAAATACTGATATAGATATTACAAGATATCTTGTGATTTAGTTTCTTAAAAAGGATCAGTCTGTTTTACTATTTCAAACAAATCCCAGGAAAAGACCAAAACCAACAATATATTTACAGATGTGGTGTACCTCAAGGCTCGATTCTGGGGCCTATTCTTTTCTTTTTTTAAATGCTTCTCCTTAATTAGTAGATCAAATATAGAATTCCATATTTATGTGGTTGTCAATGCTAGTGATAGTTATTGTCTGGTTACCCTCAAATTCAGATTTGAGGAAAATAAGTGTTAGATAACTTGTTCTCAGTCTGAGGTGATTGTGTTAAACAAATCCCATGAAGTGACCTCAGACGTTATGATTCAGGTTCAAATAAACCATGATGACTGTTGGGAGGAAACAGGAAGTGAACCGCTTTATCTTCTGCTTATGTCCAAGGTTTTGTTAAGCCGTCCATTGAGCCCGACCTTTTTCCTCTACGGATGTTTAGTGTCTCTTGAACAACGTTCTCTAGTGGTCTAGAATCACAACGACTGTGACCACTAGAGGGCGCCGTCACCTGAACATAACACATGTTGTTTTGGGGTATTTACTGTTGTTTTTCTTTGTTGACAAGAACAAAATATAGAATATCACCAGAGTTATACTGAAACACTTGAAAGCTGCATTTTAAAATAAAAATCCTTTAAAGTCCAGTGTGATTGACGGGGAAACAGGAAGTCAGCAGATCATTTTTTATGACTTGTTGAACTTTGTCTTGCGATGCTGTGACTGGTCGAACTGTCAGAGTCACACTAACATGTTGGATGTAGCATGATGCTAACTGTTGATGCTAACTGCTAACTGCTTTGCTCCATGTTTGGACTCTGCATGCTGTCTTTCTCTGTTTCCACTTAAGAAGTAGAGGTTGAGTATGTAGCACTGCTGTTAGCATAGCTTTTATCTCCTGTATCTATTATTATTATATAGATGTAGATCTTATAAATTTGCATGTTGCTGGTTAAAGACACACTTGCTGACTACAGATTTGGAGATCTGTAACACAGTCAGTGAATCTTTGCTAATGCAGAAGCATGAAGCGTAAAAGATAAATGACTGTAAATGTAAACATGCTGCATGTTTGTGGTTTAATCACTGAGCATGATATTATGATGATGATACAGTTATTTTGAGGGTTTGACTGATGGACGGTTCCATTCTGGCCTTTTATGGAAGTGTATGGCTGCCAATAATCAAATAAAGTCAAGTTTGCACAAAATGTAAATTTTGAATTAATTTAAGTACTGCATTGGCAACAGGCTGTGAAATTTAATTTTCCAATTTGCAAACATTTGTGCAACTTTAACCTGTAAAGGAAGTTGACATTTGAACTGTATATAAATATCCTTATTTAAAACCTGATTATTCATAATTGATACTAATATTAATATAATTTGCCTCTTAGGCCTTTTTTTAGATTTTTTTCTCTTTTAGCTAAAATTGGGATGAAAATCAAATTCACATTCAAAACCCAGTTTGCAATTTAGATTAAAAAATGTATTCAATTAAATGTAATATATGTTGTTTTATACATTAATAATTACCCTTTTCATTTGATTTAGTGAATTCGTGATTTAGTGAATTATTGATTTAGTGAATTATTGATTTAGTGAATTATTGATTTAGTGAATTAGTGAATTATTGATTTAGTGAATTAGTGACTAAGTGAATTAGTGATTTAGTGAATTAGTCATTTAGTGAATTAGTCATTTAGTGAATTAATGAAGCCCGCTGAGGCAAATTTGTGATTTTGTGTTAAAGTAAATAAATTTAATTGATTTCCTTTTGATGTTGGCAGACGTTGACATTTAGTTTCTGACCACTGAACACAACAGGTGTCACCAAATAAACCCTGAAAGATAATAAGATGCAATGATTCAGTTCTCCGTATTTAACCACTTCAGCAAATTCAATGAAATAATATTATATTTCATGAAGAATTTAAATATATCACCATTAATAAAGGCTTTAAATCCCACATCGGTCAAACTCTAATGTCTTAATATTATACAGTATCAGATAGTATGTAATATAGTCACCATGTTTGTATTTGATAGGAGCAAGACGGCTTTAAAGAAACGGAAGCTAACGAGGTAACGAGACTAACCTTCTGTGGCTTCTTCATCTTTATTTATCTATTTACTCTATGCATTTATGTAATTATGTATTTATGTTGTGTGTGTTTGCTGCTATCGCACTAATAACCTTCAGCCGGAAACAGAACATTTAAATATTTAACATTCAGACAGAGAGAGCAAAGATAGATTAATAAATGAGTTTTAAAGCACAATACAACATATGAATATTGTCTTTATATTCATAGAGCTACTTCCCTCTTCTTCCATAGTTCTTCTTATTAAACCAATGGCTCACTCAGATGTGTTCTCCTCATCTATGATTCACATATTTAATTAAATCAAAGTTAGATTTAGGTCTTTGATGTGTGTGAGTGTGTGTGTGTGGACATTTATTTGATATTTATGTTGTTGAATGTGTAAATATGAAGCAGTCATATTTATATTTGTATGTTTTATATATATATATATATATATATATATATATATATATATGTATTTATTTCTGTTGTCTTATTTCAGTCCCGTGCAGCTGGACGACTTTGACGCGTACTTCAAAGAAATGAGCAAAGACTCGGCCTACAAGTTCTCTCTGCAGTTTGAGGTACAGCAGGTCCAGACCAGACCAGCTGGTTCAGGCCAGACCAGAAGGTTCAGACCAGCAGGTTCAAACCAGACCAGCTGTTTCAGACCAGAAGGTTCAGAATAGAAGGTTCAAACCAGAAGGTTCAGACCAGAAGGTTCAGACCAGAAGGTTCAGGCCAGAAGGTTCAGACCAGAAGGTTTAGACGAGACCAGCAGGTTCAGACGAGACCAGCAGGTTCAAACAGACTAGAAGGTTCAGACCAGACCAGCAGGTTCAAACAGACTAGAAGGTTCAGACCAGAAGGTTCAGGCCAGAAGGTTCAGACGAGACCAGCAGGTTCAAACAGACTAGAAGGTTCAGACTAGAAGGTTCGGGCCAGAAGGTTCGGGCCAGAAGGTTCGGGCCAGAAGGTTCAGACTAGAAGGTTCAGACCAGCAGTTTCAGAATAGAAGGTTCAGACCAGAAGGTTCAGACCAGAAGGTTCAGGCCAGAAGGTTCAGACCAGAAGGTTTAGACCAGACCAGCAGGTTCAGACGAGACCAGCAGGTTCAAACAGACTAGAAGGTTCAGACTAGAAGGTTCGGGCCAGAAGGTTCGGGCCAGAAGGTTCGGGCCAGAAGGTTCGGGCCAGAAGGTTCAGACTAGAAGGTTCAGACCAGCAGTTTCAGACCAGCTGGTTCAGGTTTCTGCCCCCGTTAACGTTCCCTCATTGTGTTTTTAGGAGCTGAAGAGTGTCGGTCTGGATCTTTGCCATGATGCAGCAGACCTGCCCATCAACAGGCCCAAGAACAGATACACCAACATCCTCCCCTGTGAGTCACTGAGCGCAAAGCATCATGGGAAAAAGAGGACGAGCTCACCAAACTAAAGAGCTACAATTATATCAATGAAATGTGAAGTTAGGATCATCAAACTGATTTATGGATGAAAGTCACGTTACACTAACGAGTTTACTCGTATCACAGAAGCACATGAATGTTTCTCTAACAGTTCAATCTTTAAATCTTTATCTCCAGACGACTTCAGTCGGGTGAAGTTGATCTCGATGCACGACGATGAAGGTTCAGATTACATCAACGCCAACTACATACCTGTGAGTATAAATATACATATATACATGTATTTCACTTTTAATATGATTTACTTCGTAGTTTTTCAGTGGTGGAAGAATTATTCATATATATTACTTACAGTAAAAGTACATATAGCACAGTGTACAAATACTCTGGTACAGTAAATGTACTAATACCATACTGTAAAAATACTATGTAACAGTAAAAGTACTAGTACCACACAGTAACAATACTGCATTCAGAATATTATTCGGTAAATGGTCCCATGATACCTGTATAATGTACAGTGTACTGTGTATTGTAATATTTCACAGTACATCAAGTCATTATAGTAAATTGTAGAATTATAGTTTCTTCTGTTTTCATTAATATTTTATAAAATGATCAAATGTTTAAAGAATAAAATCTGAATCTGTAAAGTAACTAAAGCTGTCAAATAGAGGAAGTAAAAAGTACTATCTTTCCTTCTGACATGTAGTAGAATAAAAGTATACGAAGTAGAAAGTAGTATCAGGAAAATGAAATACTCAAGTAAAGTAAAAGAACATAAATTGTACTTACGTCCGCTTTTAGTTTTCTCAGTGAAAGAAAATAAATACTGAATTCACTTTATTATTATATATATATTAATGACATTAATGATATTTGTTCATGACAGTAAAAGTGTGTATTTTGTAACTTTCAGGGGTACAAAAATACAAAAGAGTACATCGCCACTCAGGGTCCGCTACCGGAGACTCGTAATGATTTCTGGAAGATGGTTCTTCAGGAAAAGTGTCCGATCGTCGTGATGCTCACTCAGTGTAACGAGCGGAGGAGGGTGAGTACTTTAATCTAGTACTAGTACACATGTGAGGGTGAGTACTTTAATCTAGTACTAGTACACATGTGAGGGTGAGTACTCTAATCTAGTACTAGTACACATGTGAGGGTGAGTACTCTAATCTAGTACTAGTACACATGTGAGGGTGAGTACTTTAATCTAGTACTAGTACACATGTGAGGGTGAGTACTTTATGTCACTTTCTACTTTTATCTGACAGCTTTACTCAGTTTACAAACACACAAAACATATGAAGAGTTTATAAAATATGATAACTTTCAAACACTTTTTACAAGATTAGTTGAAACCGTTAGTCCATTAATCAATTAAGTAATGAATAAATTAGTCCATTAATCAATTAAGTAATGAATAAATTAGTCCATTAGTCAATTAACCAATTAGTGACAGAAAATTAATGTGATGTGTTTTGATGATTGAAGTTGATTCCAGATGTAACAATGTATAAATATTGATCTATTATTATTTGTATTAATATATTACTATATATTAATATTATATATTAATGTATTATATGTACTATATTAATTATTATAAATGAATACATATTTGATGATATATTTTACTAACTACATATATTGCGTGTGTTCCAGGTGAAGTGTATTAATATACTATGTATATTCATATATTATGTATACTAGGTGTTCCAGGTGAAGTGTATTAATATATTATTATGCATTATATATATTCATATATTATATATATATATTTTGTGTGTTCCAGGTGAAGTGCGACCACTACTGGCCGTTCACAGATGAGCCCGTGATGTACGGGGAGATCAGTGTGGAGATGCTGTCTGAGTCGGAGTCTCCAGAGTGGACCATCAGGAAGTTCAGACTGGGATACGTGAGCACCAGTTTCTCAACCTCTGGGTCGGGGCTCAGCATGGGGTCCAGGTCTTCGTGGTGTTTATGGTCTTTGTCTCCCCCTGCAGGCCGACGAGTCTCAGGACGTCCTCCACCTGAACTACACCTCGTGGCCCGACCACGGCGTCCCCACGGTCAACGCCATCGAGAGCATCCTGCAGTTCGTCCACATCGTCCGTCAGCAGGCCAACCGGACCAGAGACCCCGTCATCGTCCACTGCAGGTCTGGACCCCGTGTACTGTATATACATATATATGTATCCACTTAGCACTTACTTAGCACGTATTGTATTCATACTATCTTATTGCACTTATTGTATTCATATTAGTTTGTGACACTTATTGTATTCATTTGTTTCTGTACGTTGGCTCTGGTTTATGCTCTTAGATGCTTGTTTAAAGGAGACTTCTGGTGACGAGTAGTTCTCTTGAATACCGATGTTGAATACACTTATTGTAAGTTGCTTTGGATAAAAGCGAATGCTAAATGACTGTAATGTGATGTAATATGTATATATACACAGTACACGCCCACAGTTAGCATTCTAACTCTGGATGTTTAGATGCCAAAAGTTTATCATTTCTCATGCTTAGTAAAGAAGAACTGGATTATTGAGACAGAGATCACTAGCTTAGGGTTCAAATGTGTGTTGAGAACTTTCAGGATTCAGGAGATTAAGTGTCACTTTTCTTTTATTGACAAAAGTATAATATACAAAAGAAAAGGGTAAACAATAGCAGAACATAAGGAACAGATCAAATACATATGAAGAGCATTGTAATATTAAAAGTCTGGAATACAGATACACATATGAATTATTATTTCACAGCTGATTACTTCTTGTTAAATAAACTGAGTGATTAAAGTAGAATTGATCATGTGATACCCTGTGGACTCACCACCCGCAGGGACAAACATCGGGGTCGGGTGCTATGCAGACCGGGCGGCAGGTCGGGCGGGAGGCCTGGGCATGCCGATCGCCAGCAGCATAGACTAGCTCTAGGGACGTGGAACGTCACCTCGCTAGCGGGGAAAGAGCCAGAGCTGGTGCAGGAGGTGGAGCGATACCAGCTAGATATAGTTGGACTCACCTCCACACACAGCGCTGGCTCTGGAACCAAGCTCCTGGAGAGGGGTTGGACTTTGTCCTTTTCCGGAGTTGCCCAGGGTGAGAGGCGCCGGGCGGGAGTGGGGATACTCACGAGCCCCCGGCTGAGCGCCGCTGTGTTGGACTTCTCCCCGGAGAAGGAGAGGGTCGCCTCCATGCGCCTACGGGATGTGGGGAGCAAGGCTCTGACTGTGGTTTGTGCTTATGCACCAAACAGCAGTTCGGAGTATCCGGCCTTCTTGGAGTCGGTGGGAGGGGTCCTAGAAAGGGGGGGGGACTGCTAACCCGGACGGGGGACATCGTCGGGCGGTGGAAAGAGCACTTCGAGGAACTCCTAAACGCGACCAACATGTCCTCTGCAGAGGAGGCAACGCCTGAGGACCTAGGGGGAGGCTCACCCATATCCCTGGCAGAGGTCGCTGAGGTAGTTAAAAAGCTCCTTGGTGGCAAGGCGCCGGGGGTGGATGAGATCCGCCCTGAGATGCTGAAGGCGCTGGACATAGTTGGGCTGTCCTGGCTGACACGCCTCTTCAATGTCGCATGGGGGTCGGGATCAGTGCCCATGGAATGGCAGACTGGGGTGGTGGTTCCCATCTTCAAAAAGGGGGACTGGAGAGTGTGCTCGAATTACCGGGGTATCACACTACTCAGCCTCCCGGGGAAGGCTTATGCCAGGGTGCTGGAAAGGAGGCTCCGACCGCTTGTCGAACCTCGGATTCAAGAGGAGCAGTGCGGATTCCGTCCCGGCCGTGGAACAGTGGACCAGCTCTTTACCCTCGGAAGACTACTGGAGGGGTTCTGGGAGTTTGCCCAACCAGTCTACATGTGCTTTGTGGACTTGGAGAAGGCTTTCGACCGGGTCCCTCGGGGGTTCTTGTGGGGGGTGCTGCGGGAGTACGGGGTGCCGGACCCGTTACAACGGGCGATCCGGTCTCTGTACGACTGCAGTAGGAGCTGTGTCCGCATTCTCGGCAATAAGTCAGACACGTTCCCGGTGGGTGTTGGCCTCCGCCAGGGCTGCCCTTTGTCACCGGTCTTGTTCGTGACTTTCATGGACAGGATATCTAGGCGCAGCCTCGGGGCGGAGAACGTCAGGTTCGGGGGTCTCGGGATCGCCTCTCTGCTGTTTGCAGATGATGTGGTCCTGTTAGCCTCCTCGGATCGTGACCTCCAGCATTCACTGGAGCGGTTTGCAGCCGAGTGTGAAGCGGCGGGGATGAGAGTTAGCACCTCCAAATCTGAGGCCATGGTTCTCTGCCGGAAACCGGTAGATTGCTCCCTCCAGGTGGGGAGAGGGGTGCCTACCTCAAGCGAAGGAGTTCAAGTATCTCGGGGTCTTGTTCACGAGTGAGGGTAAGATGGAGCGGGAGATCGACAGACGGATCGGTGCAGCTGCAGCAGTAAAGCAGGCGCTGCACCGGACCGTCTTGGTGAAGAGGGAGCTGAGCCGGAAGGCAAAGCTCTCAATTTACCACTCGGTCTACGTTCCTACCCTCACCTATGGTCACGAACTCTGGGTCATGACCGAAAGGACAAGGTCGTGGCTACAAGCGGCCGAAATGAGTTTCCTCCGTAGGGTGGCCGGGCTCAGCCTTAGAGATAGGGTAAGGAGCTCGGTCATTAGGAGTCGAGCCGCTAATCCTTCATGTAGAAAGGAGTCAGCTGAGGTGGTTTGAGCATCTAATCAGGATGCCTCCTGGACGCCTCCCACTGGAGGTTTTCCAGGCACGTCCAACTGGGAAGAGACCCCGGGGAAGACCCAGAACACGCTGGAGGGATTACATCTCCCAGCTGGCCTGGGAACGTCTCGGGATCCCCCAGAATGAGCTGGAACATGTTGCCGGGGAGAGGGAAGTCTGGGTCAGCCTGCTTGGCCTGCTGCCACCGCGACCCGACCCCGGATAAGCGGAGGAAAATGGATGGATGGATGGATGATCGTGTGATAAACAATAATATATTCATTACGTGTTATGTATTATTGGCTACTGTTATTATTCAGAGCACAGTATGATCATGAAACCACAGAACAAACAGATGTTAGACAGATGTAGTGATGATGTCATCCACGTTGCTGGGGTCACGGAGGTGTAACCTCTGTGTCTGGGCTTCAGTGCCGGAGTGGGCCGGACCGGGACCTTCATGGCTCTGGACCGTCTGATGCAGCACATCAGAGAACACGAGTTTGCAGACATCCTGGGGATGGTGTCCGAGATGCGGTCCCACCGTCTGTCTATGGTCCAGACTGAGGTGAGCTGAGGGAACGGTGTTAATGTAGACCTGGTTCAGGTGTCCAGACCTGAGACCTGTTGACCTCACAGGTGCGAGTCTGTGTTCTGTCGACAGGAGCAGTACGTGTTCATCCATCAGTGCGTCCTGTTGATGTGGCAGAAGAAGAAGCAGTCCATCACCTCTGATGTCATCTATGAGAACGCCAGCAAGACATAATGATGGAGGTGAGTCAGTAACATCACACCCGATATACTGTGACAGGACTCATTATGACAGGATATATGATTGTATTATGAGAAATGTAAACAGCAGCCACAAAACAGTTCTTTGGTCAATATGGTGAAGATCTTAACACACTGAATGTAACATCAGAGAAACACTGTCCAACATGTGTAACTGTGTTTGAACACCAAACACCAGAGTCCTGGTCCTCAGTCAAGACCAGCTTGATGCAACAGCAGACGAGTCTCCGTAGAGATGTTGGTATGAAGTTATAATCAAGACGAGGGGAACAAGTCGTAGTGTAGTATGTCTATAAGAAACCTGCAGAGTAACAAATAAACAGATATTAAACTAAAAACTTTTACCAGTTTCAATAAAAGCAACTTGTGACTGAAATCCCTTCTCCTTGTCTTGCAGGCTGCGATCACAGCCAAGCTCCTGAGCTTCAGGCGTCCATCCTCTGCAGAAGAAGATCCGCTTCATCATCAGTATCAAAAAAACAAAAACAAAAGAATCCAGTTTTGGTTTGAATTGGTGTTTCAGCTTTGGGATGGAGATTTGCCTTAAGGAGCCTTCACTGAACCACAAACCCCGAACCCCCCCGAACCTGGACTGACTCAGCGTCAACGTGGGCCGGGAGGGGTCGGAGGTCATCCGGCTCTGTCCTGTGATTGGATGTCCACACTGTGTCCGTCCTCGTGGAGGCGGCGTTACCGAGTCAGCAGTTTTTCTTTTTTTCTTTCTTGTTTTTAATCTCAGGAGCAGCTGAAGAAGAAACCCAGCGAGCACATCGGCCTCTTCCTCCGCTTCCAAACCTCATCTGTTCATTTCACCTCCTCACTGCTCTCCTGGTTCAGTATATTTAATAATTCTTCTTCTCTAACATGCTAACAAACTGCCAGGAGACGATCCTCACTCAACCAACCCACTAGAAGTTCTAGAAGAAAGAAGAGCACAAAGTTTACTTCTCTGATGTTTAATTCAACACTAAAAACATTGAGTAACAAAATCCATCTGTCAATTAAATGGAAAGTCAATCATCAAAGTCTTTTGGATCAGATTTCATGAATTGCTGCTCGACTCACGTTTTGACTCCTGAATGTGTGAATGTTTGCTGAGTCAGCACAAAATAAAGAGAGTTGAAGTGAACAAACTTCTCTGAGGACGACGATCGTCGCTGTCGGAGCTTCTTCAGAGTCACTGGGTCAGAGCTGAGATGAACTCTGAGATGAACCTGAAGCTTCTCTGAGGTTCAACAAACCGAGGATCAGAAGGATCAAAAGGATCAAAAGGATCAAAAGGATCAAAAGGATCAAAAGGATCAGAAGTGGCTGAAGACGAACAAACTGACAAAACCTCCAACAAACGACATCGACTTTCGTTCTGCTGACTAGACAGAAACGTATCTGAAGGCCGGCCCGAAACCTTTCTGAGCTTTTCTTCCATCAAATTACCGAAACATAAGAAAAGGTGCAACTTTGATTCATGACAATAAAACTAATAAATACGAGACGGAACAAATATTAAACGAGCAAAAATAGTTTGACTTCATTCCTCTGCCGTCATTACAAAAGTTTAAAGAGCATCAAAATATTTATTTTAATCTTCAAACATTTCAGTTTATAAACCACAAATTTAAACACAAAATGTGGTTAAAAAAATAAGAAAATACCGAACAATTATATCGTGTCAATTTGTTTTGATTACAAATGTAATTTATGACGCAGAGACATTTATAATAACAAATGTTCCCTTTATAATGGAAAGTGATGATTATTTGTCTATGAATTGTTAAAATACACAAATTCAGCAAAGTGCACAAATGTCTTCTGTTTTAATCTCAAAATTGGAAATCACCAAATTTTGTTTCAAAACAGAACAATTCAGTTTTATAATCCTACAGTTTGATTGAATCGGTAGAATTTGTTATAATGAAACGACGGAGTTCATGTTAAAAACTGATCTGGTTCTAAATTGTTACTTTTTTAATATTTGGTGTTTTTTATTTGAGTTTATTTGAAAATTGGACCAAAAAGCTGCAGAAATGTTTCTGAATTTAAAAGACGTTTTAATAATAAATAAATAATAAATCAGTGAACGTTAACTGTAGAAAACATGATTCTCATTTTAAAATTAATCACTTTTGGATTTTGTCTTAAAACATGAATATT